GGTATTCTGCCAGCAAGGTAAAGGTTTGCAATGTGTGGTATGAGCCAAGAAGTTATAAAGAGGTGTTGGCATTACCAAAAGCTGAACAAGAAAGATGGAAGGAGGCCATGGATAAAGAGATGAAATCCATGGGAGACCATGAAGTATTTAAATCAGTGACTTTGCCACAGGGAACCAAAGCTGTGGGTTGTAAATGGGTATATAAGAAAAAGGTATTGCCAAATAATGATGTACAGTTGTTGCAAGATTTAAATATTAATGTAAAAGAATCTGTAAAGGTATTTGAAGACAATGCTGCCTGTATAAAAATGGCAACTGGTAACAGGGTGAAGAACAGAAGTAAACATGTAGACATTAAGTATTGTAATGTCAGGGAAGCTGTAAAAGGAAAATTGATTAGTTTACATCATTGTTCTTCTGAGGATAATTTGGCAGACATAATGACTAAACCATTGGGTAGTGTTCACTATGGAGAATGTATTAAGTCAATAGGTCTGATGTCTCTTCCTGTCATGAAGGGAGGAGTGTTGGAATATTCATGAGCAGGAAGAGTCATGTGGTAACTCAGTCAGCCAATGTGAAGAAAGTGCTACTGAGTCTGTGCAAAAGGGTATTGAGTTGGAGCTGGATTTTGTTTGTTTCAGTTTCAGTCTCAGGTCTGTCTCTGCTGTAAGAAGTCTTCATTGTGCTATGTTGCTGTAAAGAAGAATGTATGGTATTGTAAATATTTTGATATGAATATAAAGAGTTTATTTGAATCAGCTAAATGCAGTCAACTGTGAGAGCTTCTGATTTATTTTTTCACCAATAGAGAAATTAAAATTCTCTAACAAAATATATGCCTCTTCTTGAAGGAAGACATATATCCTAACCCTTTGTAACATATGTTCTGATTAGATCATGCTAATCAACGGGATTATTGCAATACAAGTGGAACAATCTTTAAAGAAGACTCAAAACCATTAACTCATACCAAATTCAAAAACATAAAAAGCTCAGCCATCTAAATATTGGGGACATATTATATCATATTTATATTACTTGATGTCACCTATAAGGCATTTATTATGTCATTTAAAATCTAAATAGTTTAAGACCAGGTTTTCTGATGAACTAGTACTCTTTTTATATTTTTATAGGCATGTATACAAATTTATATTAAATTTAAAACTGTCATTCCTTTGCTTAACGAGCAATTCATGCCATTGATGATTCTGTAATGAAAACAAAGTAAGTATATTTACCTTCTTCATAAACTTTAATTTTTTTATCATCATCTTTTTTATTCCCAAATATTTCATGGGAACAATGAAATGACTGCACCATGAACATAATTCAGAATATTTTCAACGTCATTTATCTATTAAATTTGACTCTTTAATTTGAAGTACTCAATGTGATTAATAAAAATAGAATTCCAAACTTTACAACATATATTAATATTAATGTTAAAATAAAATACCAAATAAAAATTGACAGTTTACAAATCAGATTAAACTAAACAGTTTTTCTAAACTAAAATTACACGATCTGCTAAGATGGTTTAGGGCAGGGTTCGGCAACCTTAAATACTCAGAGCCACTTGGACCCGTTTCCCACAGAAAACACTGGGAGCCGCAAAACTCGCACGCGCATGCGCGCATGCTGGAGGAGGGGGCTTGACTGAAGAGTTTAATGAAAAATAGAGGCTGCTGTGCATGAGTTCTCTCTCTCTCTCTCTCTCTCTCTCTCTCTCTCTCCCTCCCTCCCTCCCTCTCTCTCTCTCTCTCTTTCTCTTCCTCCCCCCCTCTCTCCGATCTTCTGCTCACCTGGCCAGCTGGCCTGACGCTGTTCTCCAACAAGCTGACACACATTCTTCTTGGGCTGGCTCTCTCCTGCCCTTAGTCTGCCAGTCCTCTTCCCCCACTCAGTGTGAGTGTGTGTGTGTGTGTGTAAGAGAGAGAGAGAGAGAGAGAGAGAGAGAGAGATGCTGCTTTCTGCTGCTTCCTGCGGAGACGCAGCAAAGGCAGGAGCCCCGCCCAATAAGCTAGTCAGCTTGTCAGAGAACAGCATGAGGCCACTCTTTTACACACACACACACACACACACACACACACACACACACACACACACAGAGAGAGAGAGAGAGAGAGAGAGAGAGAGAGAGAGAGAGAGAGAGAGAGAGAGAGAGAGAGAGAGAAGGGAAGTGCAAGTGCCTCTCTCTGTCTCTGTCTCTCTCTCTGCAAATGGCGGAGGAGGACTGGGAGCCACAGGAGAAGGCTCAAAGAGCCACATGCGGCTCCGGAGCTGCAGGTTGCCGACCCATGGTTTAGGGGCAAATTCAATTCAAGGTAGTCCATTTTGTAGCCTATATCATTTTCTCATTTTTTACCAATCTAATTGCAATTTGTTATTAAGACACAAAAGTGAATCAACTTTTAAAAACAAACTAATGAATTTTCTTTGGCCTGCTATCCAGAAAAAACATTTAAATGATCAACCCTATATGAATGGCTCCAAATAAATGGAAAGTTAATAAAAGCTCTCTCTGTTCACACATGCAGATTTTTTAAAAAGTTGCTTTGGGAACTGTGCTACCTTAATACACAGCACATTTCATTTATACAGACACTGGAAAGCTTTTCAATTTTTTTAAGACGGTGGGGTTTTTTAAGACACTGTGAGCAAGGTCAATAACTAGAAAAAATGTTGCTGTTACTGCAGCTTTTGGAGAGGGACAGAGGTTTCCCACCTATGTCCTAATACAGTGGTGGTGAACCTATGGCACGTGTGCCAGAGGTGGCACTCAGAGCCCTCTCTGTGGGCACATGTGCCGTTGGCCCAGCAGAGTTTGCCAGAGTAGCAAGCACGTGGCATTTGGAAGCGACAGGGCAGGAAGTGAGCGAGCAAGCGGCGTTGGCCCCCCGAGGATGCCCCAGAGATGGCGAGATACCAGCCACGCTCACCCAGTCTGCCGTGATCACTGCAGGCACGCCCACCCAGTGGACCATGCCCCCCGCGCCCCCTGAGGGCACCACAGTGCTGATGCAGCCCTGGCACTTTGTGATAAATAAGTGGGTTTGGGATTGCAGTTTGGGCACTCGGTCCCTAAAAGGTTCACCATCACTCTCCTAATACATAAAAGGTGGGGACAGTAGCCAATAAAATATGTAATGCACATGAACCAGGAATATATTGGATATCTTAGCAATATAAGCTCCCTTATAGTGCCAGATTTAGAATGTGTATACAATCAATAGACAAATCCCTTCTATGGATATCTGGAAGCCTCTGAGAAGGCCAATTAGCTAGATTTTCTAGCAAACACAATCTGCTCTCTCTCTCACACACATACCATGTTTATATTTGGGAAAAAATAATTTGATGGGGGCTTTTGTTCAGTGAATTTTCCCAAAAGCTTCAGCTAGCTGTGGAGAATCAAAGGAAAGAATTTAAGCCTGCTGAATCTTGTGACATAAAATTTTCTCGGGACATAAAAAGGAACATAATCCAAACCAAAGTTGTATATTCAAAGAGTAGTTAGACAAATTATGGACAGGGAGCTGATTTTATTTTCCAAGTGTTCAAGGTAAAGAGAGTATTTTTCAAAGCATTTTTTCCTTGAGCTTATTTTTCTTTTTGGATGGTCATATCCATTGCTCCTTTGTTTCCACTTACTCTCTGAATCCTAACTGTTTTTTATAACATTCACCTGGGTTTCCTAATGAATTCTGAATATTCTAAACCAATGTTTCTGATGCCAGTTTGAATCTTGGTGGGATGAAATCTGATAACATGCCTCCAAAGCATTAAGTTCTTCTGATTATCAATATACTGGATCTTAAGTTTCCTGATGTTTTTTTAAACAGTCGAAGTGAGAAGAGCAATGCTCTTATAATGTAAGTAACAGTTGAAGACAAATACATATGTATCACACTGTCTAATCCAGGGGTCTTCAAACTTGGCCCTTTTATGACTTGTGGACTTCAACTCCCAGAAATCCTCAGCCAGGCATGCTGGCTGAGGAACTCTGGGAGTTGAACTCCACAAGTCATAAAAGGACCAAATTTGAAGACCCCTGGTCTAATCTGATTAGGTGGAGGTGACAGGCAGAAAGGCAGAAGAAGGCCTTCTAAGGGACATGGCATAAACAACAAGTATTCATGGGTTACTGTGGAAGACATTTCCCCCCAAGTTACAGAGGCTGGCAAGAGCCATTCTCAACCATTTAAGTTGTCTTTCTCAGTTATACTTATACTGTACAAAACTAGTACCTAGGAAAGTAAGGTAAATTCTAACGAGTGATGTTTTGGGCAACTTCTAATACTTACCACCTATGGCATCTTCTAAGTTGAAGTCATCACCTAGACAGAAAAAAACTGTTAGATATCAATGTCTCATGTAGAATAACCAGATTGTTTTGCAAACAAAAGGCTAGTGATCATGCATGAAAGGAAATGTACATATATATAATAGAATTTAGACAGGGAAAATGGAACAAATCCATTTGCACAAAGAAATAAATGGGACAAATTATAGAGAAATATATGCAGTAATTTGATGAAGCCTTTACTAGAACTCCATTGATATATCTTATAATTATTTTAAGAGTTTTCTTATATGAGTAGGAAAAAAACATCCTAAATGGTTCAAGACAAATATCTATTCAGAGCATTAATAAGTCAACTTATTAACTGGTGGTGCAGTGGTTAGAATCCAGCCCATAGTCTGGAGTTCTATCCTGATGGGACTCAAGGTTGACTCAGCCTTCTTTCCTTCCAAGGTCATTAAAATGTGGATCTAGATTGTTGGGGACAATATGGTGACACTGTAAAATGCTTAGAAAGTGCTGAAAAGCACTATGGGGCGGTATATAAGTCTAAGTGCTATGTGTTGCTATTGCAAAATGAAGTACATAAAAATATTTGATTTTCTTTAAAAAAACTGCCCTATTTTAAATCCATAGTTTAAAAAAAACCTCGTATGGTAGATAGGACTAATAAGAACATATGAGAATACTCATATGCTGACTAGGAAACAGAAAATCATAAATATTCGATTTTACTTCTATTGGTCTTCAACTTTTCTCAAAATTAAAGGAGTATATATTTGAGCCATAGCCATTTATTGTTCAAATGCAATCACATTCACAAAATAACACTATTAAAAAAAAATGTTTACTGCAAAAATCTATACTTACTTGGCTTTTTGGTAATTGTATTAGGCCTTTTAGTAGGAGCTAAAATAGAAAAGTAGAATATAAATTAGTTGCAATGATCCATTAAACAGAACAGAATAAATATTCAGTCCTTAAATCCTTTGTAGTCCTTCAGAAATGAAAATTGGTGGGATAATTTCATGTAACTCTGAAGTGAGAAAGCAGTAAAAGACACCTAATATAATTTTTAAAAAGTACTTTCATCCAATGAGTAGAAAGCAAAAAATTCCTAACTACCTCCACCCATTATTTTGTTACTATAAGCACTGTTGCTCCAAAAATATGTCGCACTACCATAAAATGGCTCCTCCCTGCAACAGAGTGATGCTAAACTGATTTTGTAATAACTAAATCTATAAGTAGACAGATTCAATTTTTGAAAATTCTTCCCAATCTCAACAGAATGTTGAAAAAAACATGTGAAGGGGCTTGAGATTCCGATTATCTATCAGCAGGATAACTGTCTTTAAAAATATGGACAAAAGAGGACATGTTTGGTTTAGTAGAGCAGGGCTTTTCAACTGGTGGTACGTGTACCACCTGTGGTACATTGGCACCTGGCAGGTGGTACGCGACCATCCTAGAAGTGATAGCAGGGGAGGGAAATGAGCTGAACTGGCGGAAGCACCGCACAAGCCTGAGCAACAGATGGGTGGAGCTGCAGGGCTGTCAGGGCTCAGCAGAAGCGCCAAGCACCGAGCTCCAGCTGATCGGCACTTCTTCTGATTGGGCTTCTTCTGATCGGTACTTCTTCGGGGCTCAGCAGAAGCACCAGGATCAGCGCCAGATTCCAGCTCTTTTCTTTGTGAGGAAGGGGGCAGAAGGGGGGATGAGACTTCCACGTTCCTCAAATTTGGGGCAAAGCAAAGGAAACTGTAAGTTGCCAATCACCTGGCCGACAGTGGCGGGTTTGGCTGCACTGTGCACGAAGCAAAAGACAGAGGCGCCCTGAAAATGGACCGGAGGGAAAGCAGAGCAGAAGGAAAATCTGAAACCACCAAAAAAAAAACCCAAACCCACCTCCGGACAGCCTTTTCCCCTCCTTTCTGAACATGAGGATTTGATCACCCGAGAAGCTGCTGCCGCCGCCACCTAACCATCCACTGAAGGAGCTTGGAAGGAGCAAAGCCCCGGGACCTTTGCTGCCTTGGGCTGCCTGGATTCAGAAATGGCTTGTGCAGCGCAGAGACCTCTTCCCCGGGGCTTGCAGTGGTTCTTCCTGGCCGCCCTGATGGTCCCCTGTGACAGACAAGGGGGGCAGCGAGAGGAGGGGGTGCCGCCTGCTACGGGGGCTTCGACCTGTACTTCATTTTGGACAAGTGGCCCGGCATCACGGTGGCTGTGCAGGATGTGGCTGGACTGCGTGGGGCGCAGCAGCCCTGGCAATTTTTCAAAACTCCATAGCAGTTTTTTCCCTTTGCTTTGGGTGCCCAATTTGGACAAAAAACGCCTGGCGGATGCCGCGTTCCTCTTTCCTCGGGAGAAGGTCGAAGGAAAAAGTTTGACTCCTTCGCTGGTTTCTCTTTTTTGCAACATTGCTTTTTTTGAGGGGGGGAGTTTATCAAAGAACAGCTGTCAGCTTTGGCCTGTTTGGTTAGACTTACAAATGACCGTTTCCAAAGCCTTAGTAAATCCCTCGCTCGGCTTCCCTCATGGGATGTAATTTCTGCGGAGCAACCGTTTAAGACAGGGGTGGAGAACCTTGGCTCTTTTATGACTTGTGGACTTCAACTCCCAGAATTCCTGAGCCAGCCATGCTGAGGGGAAAGGGAGAGGTTTCCAAGCTGACCTATGCTAGCTCAGGAATTCTGGGAGTTGAAGTCCACAAGTCATAAAAAAGCCAAGGTTCCCCACCCCTGGTTTAATATTTCTGAACTCCGGAGTCAATTCGAAACTTGCTCCATGGCAGTGGTGGATTATTGATTCAATCAATAATTAGAAATTAGCATCTACATATCCATGAAAAAGAAATATCTTTGGGAAATATTAAACAGGCAGGAACAATAGGAAAAGAAGTAGAAAACCTAGCCCCAGAAACCAACTATTATAAATATGAAAGGCTGCTCCAAAAGAAACATCCATTTCCCTTCTCTTAGAAAAGTCAAGCCAAAAAATAAAAGTACCAGAGAAAGGGAGTTTTTTTCTTTCTCTCTCCTCTCTCTTCCTCCTCCGCCCAGCTCAGTTAATAGTCTGGGGCAGACAGCCAAGAAACATGAAGCAAAAGAAACAATGTAGTGATAAGTACTACCCTGAACAAACTAAAAGAAAGCTGACAGGATTGCCGTATACCAGGGGTGGCGAACCTATGGCACGGGTGCCAGAGGTGGCACTCGGAGCCCTCTCTGTGGGCACACGTGCCGTTGCCCCAGCCTTGCCTCCCCTGCTACCCCCTCCTCTCCAGCAGCCCCCCTGAAGGAGAGTCACCCCTGAGCATGGCCCACACGGAGCAGCGCAGCCAAGGACATGACAGCCAGGCAGCGTAGACAAGACTCTGCCCTCACACCCCATCATGCAGTTGATGCTGCAGGGCGCGGGCAGAGGGTGTGGCCGCCATAGCGCTGCTGGGCTGCCTGGGCGATCTGCGGCGGACCCTGGAGGCGGTGAGTGGTCCTGTGGGCAGGCAGGGGGGGATGGGGGGGCAGAGCGGGGGTTGGGCATGGGGGTGGAGTGGGGGCGGGGGCAGTTTTTGGGCACTCAGTCTCTAAAAGGTTTGCCATCACTGCTGACTAGTTGGAACTTTTGGAAAAGTGGAAGATAGTAGTCCAACACATTTAAAATGGTTTAAGTTAATGAACAGATTGCCTTGACAATCACTTGTAGTTTTGATATAGCCATTCCTTGTTTAACAACTACCTCAGTTAGTAACCATTTGGATATTTGGTAGCAAAAAGTGCTATAAAATTCATTTTCCAACCCTATTTACATCTGGCAACAAAACCCTTCAGTATGAAACTGATCAAGGTCTATTCAGTTAGGGCTCTAAACAATTAATTAAGCTCAGAGTTGAGTTTGTCAACTTGCAGTTAGCAGTTTTTAGGAGAGTGTTATGCAGTGAAGAAAAGCAGCTAAGAGACAGCTTGTTTAGGCTTTCTGAAAAGGGGAAAAAAACAGATCAGGCAGAAGACAAGAGACCTTTATCTGAATGAAAGGTCAGCAGCTAGTGATCTTTTCAGTGCCTTTACCTCTTGCTCTCCCTGTTTTAATCACTGGTGTTTATTTTATGATTTATATCCTGCCTTTATTATTTTAACAAATAGGTCAAGGTGGTAACCTTATTTAATACTCCTTCCTCCTCCTATTTTCTCCACAGTAACAACCTTGTGAGAAAGGGTTGTGAAAGAATGATTGGCCCAAGGTCACCTGACTTTCAGAACTAAATAAGTGTTTAACCACAATACTTATCTTCTCTAGATCAGGGGTGTCAAATTCGCAATGTCACATGACGTGTCGTGACGTATTGTGATTTTTTTTCCATTGCCGGCAATAGGGTGGGCACGGTTTCAGCATGACGCATCCAGCCTGCGGGCCGGCAGTTTGAACCCCTGCTCTAGATTTAATTTCAGCTTCTCTTCTCTCATCTAGCATGTCATTGTGATTAGGTGAAATTCAGGCATACTGCATAAGAGAAATAGTAAAACTGTGTGAAACACCACAAATCAGAAACTTGGATATAATTCAGTATTTCAGAGAAACTTGGCCACTTCACTCTTTTCTTTCTGTTCTCAAAAATTTTATGAGCAAACTGAAAAGTATTAGCTTCCATAGAGATTTACAGTAGAAATCTGTCCATTGTCTCTTTTATTTTCCGCTTTCAGTCGTATTTCAGTCGTATTTCCATGAAAATGCTAGCCTCCCTGCTTGGGGTCTAAGCTATATTTGTTTTTATCATTTATAATAAATAAAGATTTGATCAATGGATTTCAGTCATGACTTAAAGGTTTTTTCAGGATAAACCGTTCATATCTGTACTTTTTTTTTCCTTTGTTTGATCTTCCTGTTTGATGCACTCAAGCAACATGGCAGTGAAAAGTTGAGTCATCCTAACATCACTATATATCGCTGCAGAGGTAATTAGAAAATGCTGCTTGGCAGCATATATAAACATCTTGCCAGGATTTCTTTGCCTCATTTGGATCAATGATGCCTATACATTTGTGCTTATTATGAAATGACTAATGATATTACAACTTGTTATTCTTTTTGCTAGACTGCCCATTTTAAAACCTCTAAAAAGTTTAAAACGCTGCTAAACAGTTTCAATAAATGAGTAGCAAAGGTGTTTGTTTATGATAAGAGAGACTAGCACTGTATCTTTTTTTATTTATATTCTATATTGCACATGAACACTAAGTTTTGAAGAGGCATTGCAGATAGCCACTAAGTTTTAAAGAAATATTTTTTTAAAAAAATTAAATTAAAAAGGGAAATGCTATTTTTCATATCCCTTCAAAAGTAAATTAGAACATTGTAATCATTTCATTAATATCATTATTTTAATTTTACTTTACAGAAAGATTATTCTTGTATAGACAGCTTTCCTTCTGTAAATAAAACTTCATTCATTAAAGAAATTAGGTAGGATATGTGATGGTAGCAAAGCATTTTTCTTCAGGCATGCTGCAAAATTATGTAACTATTGAAAATAAGTAAGAACTATAGTTTGTTACTGTGCTCTTATCTGTATTGAAAATTAAGTGATGGTGAGTTTAAAACTTGATTGCCTTATAATACATTCAAGGAGTCTATAGAAGAATTAATGGAATTAAATTATATAGATAAAATTATTTGGGATTAAACCAAATTGAGGAATGCTAAAAGAAGTAATTTGATGATTTGTATGGCTTTGATAGTGATACATAAAAAAGTGGAATACAGTTAATCCTCAATGTATAATTATAATTAAGTCTGTAATTATGGTTGTAAGTCATTGTGGTTGTAAGTTGAGGCATTGTAACTGGATTCAAAATTATTATTTTTATTATGGTCATTAGGTGTGATTGTTAAGCAAATCCATTTTCCCC